ACTAACCTAGCTGTTTCGAATTCCTTCTGATAATGCACATCTACGTGTATCTACATTGTACGTAACTGCCTACGTGTTTTCGACCAACCATAGTTCGCCTACGAGAGATTTCCGAAGTCCAATAGAATCTACATTCTATCCCGGACGTTTAAAGGGGTAATACAGCTAGTGTGAATGATTGGCCCCCCCCCCGCGCACCCCGGGTTAGGTTATCGCTAGCCTTAGGTGACCAACCTCGTTACAAGGACTATTTTTCTATTTCGTCTCGTGTTTGCCTTCCTAATGTATACCTAGGTACCTACCTGCCTGCCTACCTACCTGAGTTGCTTAGTGCTTAGGTAGGTTATATTAGGACACTAAATGAGATCTCACACCTTAGCCCCCGACGAGGACATCTCATGCAGGGACGGGCGATTACAGGAGTCGAATTTCGATACGTGCGAAGGGTGGAACCTGGCTGCAGGCTTGATATTACACAAGACTGGCGCCTGTCCTCGAGCAGTCTATGAGCAAGTTTCTATAGTTGGCGGAACCCGATCAGCTGATTTGCATACAACTGTGTTGCGTGATGATGGTAAGAGCGAATTTGCCTGCTACCTGAGGCCGTGAACGCTGGTCGGCGCCGAGAAGGGTGAAGAGAAGCAAAAACACCATCTCCAGGTCTAGGGAAAGTCGGAAAATCAACGGGATAATGCAGCAACATGTGAAAGCCGCAAAGCGCGAATCGGATCGAATATGATCGACCGGACGCATTCTCCGTCAACGGTTTCGAGGGGTCCAAGAAGGAGAAAGGGAAAAAAAAAAAAAAAAAAAAAGAAAAAGAGGGACAGAAAGTTAACAATAGTTATCCGCTCTAAGGGTTGCAATTGTAACGGTATTGCGAGCCTTGTGCTCGATGCCTCCTACACCGCAACTTCTACAAATATGACGATATGACGATGTGGTATGGTTAAGAGGGCGATGGTGAAAATGCTAAACGAATAAAATGGTGTAAGTCGTGCTCTTGCGCAACTCGGTCTGGTGATTGAATAAATCGAGGGATTACTGAGATGGATGATGTGCACTGCCTAATACGGCCTTTAGGGGCCAAGACCAAGGACCCTAAGCGTCACTTTCGAGTGTGACAACTCCGCGATACTGTCCTGTCTATCTCCTTTTGTGTGGAGGGACTGTGTGGGGTGCGGACAGGAGAACCCTTGCTCATATCTCCGCCTTAGCAGTATGTACGTACATATCGAGTTACATATCGAGTTATTATTACTTTGAAACCCAGGCTGGCCTTTATCTGCGCCTTGTAGGCTGGCTTGCTTAGAGGTTGACCATTAGCATCCTAACATGGCGATATATTTATTGGACATATTTATTGGACAAGGTAACCCCAGCGGCGCGACCCTTTCAAGTTCGGTTTGGCGTGTGATAGACGTGAGAAACCTCTAGTGTAGAGTTGTTCATACGTTCCATTGGGTGCCAGGCAAATCAGTCTAGCCATGTGTTACTGTACCGTCGATAATGAAACTGTGAGCCCAATAGCATACCTATACGTGCTTGATATGAATGAGACGCGTGGGGTGGAGCAGATCCTTGCATTAGCTGATCCAACCAAAATAGCAACTAAGACGTAGGTATGTAGGGTAGGAATCGCGATTTGAGAAACGCCCTTTCGCACCTATCTCGTTCAAGGGGGGCCAACCAGTATGAGAAGAGTCATTTGCCACACGTTGCTTAATCGTCTACCCAAACACTACCATGCTCAAGAGCCCGCCGACGTGGTAAGCTGCCAGATCTTTTATTTTTATGTCCGTGATACGAATCTACGTGTTAAAAATTGTAGCTTTGGCTGATTCTCAACCAACAGAGAGGGCTACCGTATCGGAAATAAAAGGAGATATGTATGTATATTACTTACTTACGTTAACTAGATACCTAACCTAGGTATGTATGTAATTATGTAGGTATATATGTAATGTTACAAGGTCGTCGAGATTCAGGAGAGAGGTAGGTAGGTCCTAGAGTTACAAGATCATGTGTTGTGTTACGCGCAAGAATCCTAGACTTGTGTCTTACATATCCGGTATTAATGACTCTAAGTTCTTAAACAGCAGGTCCTAGACTCCGAGTATGTATGTATATCTATCGTACGTCCAGACGTGGGGGTTGCTCAGCCGATCCACTCCACGGGGTTGAATCCCTGCTTTTCATGTACCCCAAATCCCCACACAGAAACCTTCTCTCAAGTTCGTACGTACAATACATTACGGGGAGAGATGCCGATAATTATCCAGGGCTACCGGGGCTGAACACCATCGCGCTAAGGGGGAAGCGTAAAGGGGGTGGAGGGTCTCGGTGTGCAAAGAGCCGACTTCTCGAAGATCGATACCACCTACTGTAACTGTGGTTGGACGAGGGTTTACATACACTAAGCGCGCATATGAGGATGTAAACGCCTTCGTCTGGGGGTGTGTAACGTTTAGTTCAAAATATCTTCTCCGTGAAGTTCCTTACAAGTCGCTAGGATGCTGAATGTTATTTGGTGGAGATGTTGCTTGAAGCAGTTAAATAAGCATTCTGCTGCTTCATTTATATGGCAAAATACAAGACCCTTAAAAGATTCTGGCTTGATCTTTACTTAAACAGGCAATTTTAGATAATTTTTATCATTCCGAAAATACGAGGCATGTATTTTTCCATAATATTTTGAATGTCCTAATACTTCGCTCTTTTAAGTAACATTTCCACTAAATAACATTCAACATCCTAGCGACTTGTAGCTACCTACCTACGCTTCTGAAGCGGTACAGACATCCGTACCCGAGAGACGCCAGTTTCATAATACGGCAAATGAGCAGCTTTGACTTTGCTTTCATCCACAGGCTTGGGCGAGATATCATATCTCACTCATTACGGCCCCTAAACCGGCATTTTCGGGCGACCGCCCCGGATCGCCAGGACTTTCAAAGTTTGATAATCAACCTTTACAGATTAGACAGCCCACGCTCCGTTATTGCTAGTAGTAACAGGATCCTATCCTATTGGTCCTCCGCATTGTGGCGTATGCAAGAGTACATAGCGAAGATGTTGGACTCCGCCTTTATGTATATACTGGGCTCCGCCGTCTGGACACCAGCCCAGTCAAAACTTCACAATGCAGCGACGGTAGACCGCGCGCCGTCGTGACTTTTATGTGCGAGATAGATTGGCGAGGTGACGAGATGGCAAGGATCTGGACTAGCTAGCTACCTCGCAGATCCTCCTCGATTAAGGAAAACCTGGCGATTTCCCCGGGATATCGCTACTATTTCGAGCTCGGGGGTCGCCTACCCACTATGAACGTGTACATACAGAGTAATAGCGTCGTCTTATGTGACAATTTATTAGCGATCCGTGCCCCACGGATGCCGTTGTAGTGGTGTAAATCTACCCTATCTTAAATCTCGATACTACACAAGTATATGGGGGTCGAATGGGGGTCGAAGATCTCGACTAGTCCATCGAAAAGCTGTGGGGGAATTCTGCGACCTATCAGTGGTTCGGCACTGTCTTGAGATATTAATTATTTGATTGACTGCGCATCTAAGGGGAGATCATGTTGCCAGCAGTTACATATACAATATAGCTTAGGGGGCAGAATCAAGCCATGATTAGAAAAAAAAGAAACAGGGACAGGTCACAGGAACAGGTCCAAGCGATGCCGCGGGAAATGGCGGCGCAAGCATGAGGTTTCTGCCAGGAACAACGTCGCCGTATTCTCAGGTACGGTGTATAGCCTATGAAGGATCTTGCTCGGAACAAAAGAAGCGAGATTGCTCCAGTCGATACGGTGCATACCTTTCCTCTGGAGCCTAAAGAGCCTATCGGAATAGATGGTACTTGTCATCGTAGTCATCGTGAGTGTTGCCGTCATCCTTACGAAATGTTGGACAAGACAAAGCATTATGGCGGCTACTTGTTATATCGAATTATATTGGGCAAAGAAACCCCTTATATTGCCGTCCGCAGTAACCGGAGCTAGACGCCGTTGACGAGCATGTTGTCATTTTACTTATCTGCCAATCCTCTGAGGCAAAAAAACTCCTGCCATTCTGGGGTATGCTTAGACTACCTAGGTCTGAGTATGCTGTCGCCAAGATATCTATCCATAGATCAATCCACTTCACCACCATGCTAGATCTAGCCCTTATCAACAACGCCAAGTCTATTCTAATAACGTCCTCAGCTGGCGAGCGAAGGGCTAGAGCAAGGTTCTATTCTAGATCAAGCAATCTTTAATACCCTTATGATATCAATATTCGTAATCCGTAGCCTCGTTATCAAGCCAGACCTTTGATGCCAAGGGCAAATATCGCCCGGCAACCAAAAGACGATGCAGGTAAATTTGGTTCGGAACAGGTACGTGATATAATCTCTCGGGTTCCTTAGCTTGGCCTGGCCTTGGCTGCATTGCTTGGGAATCTGGATCGCCGTGAACCATCAAAAAACATGGCTCTCCAGTTCAGCTTCCATTCCTGTCTTCCGGATAGACGTACCGGTGCCGGGACTTGGAGAACAAAGGGGTGGAGGCTCTTCGTTCTCCGCTTTCTATAGATGAGGGTGAACTTGTTCTAAATTGGAAAGTTGAACGAGACAACTTCATTCGACTTCGCAACGTCAGAAGCAAGCTGAAAACGACCTAATCCGTCGGCATGCATTCGGTCAATGCAAAGGCCGTATGGGTATTATCTGATCTTATCCCCCCCCCCAACTTCGCCTCCTTACTTCTCCCATCCCATCCCACCCATCTTTACTGCATCATCGGCGCCGGACGACACGGTTGTGCCGATTTGCGCGGTCGTAAACCAGTGGGCGGCTACGGGCGTTACGGGTTACATCTAATCATGCAGTTAATCCCCAGATGAATTAATATCTTGCTCAAGACGAGCCGCAATCTATTCCACATATCGGCCCCGAAACGGGAGTCTACCGCAGATCTATCTCCGCAACGGCTGATTCGGACTTTCGAGTTTGCCTGAGGGGAAGCCTGTCGATGTGGTATTTGTACCCCTTCTCCTCACCCTGTATTCCGGGCGTACTTATCACTGTTGCCACCGGATGTTCGTCTACATATATAACTTATGGTCACCCTCTGCCGTGTAACCTCCACAACACTCTACTGCCTGCCGTACATCCATGTATTACTACTACTCTTCAATCAAGGACCAGCACGTCTCGCTTGGGAACTACAGAGCAACCGTCCCGGATCTAAGGAGAAACATACGCTCCAGTAGGCTACCCCGACGACACATAGCGTCGCTACGGTAAGATGTTGAAACCGGCGAAGGGGCTCGATTCTGAAGATAGATGTGGTGGCGACTTCAAACGGGGTTAATTCATCTCGGCAGCCGGTATTTTAAGTTGCACGGCGTGTGCCGCCTAGGCAAATCACATACCATCTCGGCTCGTACCGAAGGGTGGTGCCAGCAGGACGCCAATCCCGTGTCAGAATCGAGACCCTTTACGTCTTGACCGAGTCTGGCCGCCACAGGCAGAAAAGCCTTTCTTCGGTACAGTAAGCCGAATTGATTTGCTTCCTTGGCTTTAATCACAGGGATGCCGTGCGACAGTTGGAACGCCGGTCCGGTGAAAAGCTTCGATGACGCTGTCGCGGTTATCTCCATAACCTTGAAGCTTCAGCCCGACTCAACTTAGCAACCATACCTACTCCTATTTCATAAGCGCTTGCCTACGGGTGGCTACGGCTACAGATACCCTATCGGTCCTGGCGATTCGATGTACGGCATCCGGTCCTCTAGGAACGGCGCCAAGGTGTCATCTTTTTAAACCGCTACACGAGGTTGCTCACATAGTCGCGGCGCGAAATAGGGGCTCAGAGTGCAGAAACGAATGGTCGCTAATGAGCGTTAGGATATCTAAGCGAGAAAGACATGCAGACATAGACTTCGGTGGGCGTTCGACTACGCAAGCCGAGGCGGGAAATCAGGCCCAGAGATGTTACGACTTCGTTCAGAGTTCATGATGCTGAGAACACGTTCGTATGACGGCTCTACTGTGCGAACAGTAATCTCGATTAAGTAGTCGATAAAAGTCTAAGATGATAACGGTATCAACATCTTAGCACAAGGCATTACGAATGTTTTTGTCGAGATGTAGGATTAGGGGGAATCCATTGCTGGGCGAGGGTGAGGGTGAGGGTGTCGTTAGAACAATAGAACTCAAGGCGCTATAGTAAGTAATGTGAGGATAGCGGGCAATCACTTCAGTCGAAGGTAGTCTTAGGTAGGTAGGCTCTAGGGAGGTGAGTTTCCCCTTTTCGTTGAGTCCAGGGGAGATTATCCTGCTTGGTGGGTAAACTGTAGTGGGAACCATCAACTACCTACTATCTACCTATGTAATGTTATGCAACTATGAAGGCCGAATATGAATTATCCGTATAAAACCAGATGCCTATAATTCCCTTACGGGATATATAAGAAATGTAATAGAGTCAAAGCGATGGAGGGGGGCCTAGCCTCAGGAATAGGGGGTTTGCAATTACCTAGATAATTAACAGCTGGGGGGCAGTATAAGGTTTACTGGTTTGATATTTAATAACCGTAAGAGCTACACGTAGTCTTAGATTATAGGTTAGGTAAATACCTGGTATGAAGTCTCGACATTAAACGTAGTCGTAGTCGTGGTTTCTTAAGATACCTACTGACTTAAGGATAACCAACTGAACACTACCTAGGTACTTATCTATAATTCATAAAAGTAATTTGAGGCCATATATTTGGGTTTATGGTCCTGGTGAATAAAAGCTACACGAGAGCTGATTCCTAAGAATTTGACAATGGTTCTTAACATGTTATCTGATATTATACGAACCGTGGTCGTCTTGACACCGGCCTGAATCTCAACGACAGAGAAATGATAGGTCATGAGTATGCTTCCTGTGTTACATTTTAAGATAAAGCCCAGTATATAGTCGGTGGTTATCTATATACCCGCGCTGTATCACACGAATCGGTTCTATGAGAGTTTGCTAAGATATCTGGCCGACTTGGTCTAAGAGAGCCAGAACACTTATGTATTGGCGCATTAAATGACGGCATATTGATCAACTTCTTTGTATACTATATACCAACAGAGAACTTTACAACCTAAATCATCGCTATATATAAGCAACAGCTTGTGTATTTAGATTAAAACCAGGAATGAAAGATGAGAAACATGTTATAGCTGAGCCTAGAACTATTTCTTGCTGATTTACAACGAAATATAAACATCCACTCTGGAGTGATATACGGCTCATAAGCAACAGTGGCAGCAAAACCCCGAGTTTAGAAATGGACAATAATGTTAGGGTATAAGTGGGTTAGGGGTTAGGGGTTAGGTAGTTACAGGGATATATCTACTACCTGACCTACCTGTCCTGACACTTACTCTGTGTATGACAGCCATTAAAGGTATCAATTATCTAATAATAAGATAACAAGTGACCCTCATTCTCAGGGACGATTAGGTAAATAGGTTGAGAGACAATGAACTGTTCATAGTTGAGATCATGCCAGCCGTGGCCGAGCTTGTTTGTCCGGTTAAGAGTGAATGTTCGATTATGGAAGACAACTCAGATTTTATTAATACACCATGTAGGTATCAGATCAACGGAATATAATCTCACACCGACGATCCAGACGTAATTGAGTCCCTCGCTCTAAGGCTTGTCGACAAGATAAAAAGCGACTGTGCTTCTCAGCTACGACGCCGTTATATCCCATCCCATGGCTTCCTGCCTTCCGCCATCACAGCGTCAACGCCGTTAGCTATCCTAGTTTGTGAGAGGCTATATAGGACGAAGCGCACTGTTTAAGCACCATTAAAGAGACAAAGAGGTGGCTTTAGCTGGCTGTTTTGAGTTTGTTCCGCGAGATTAGTAGGAAGAGAATAGTTCTTCGCATGGTACGAGTAAAATCATATCTTAATAGTAATTGCTGAGGTCATTAGCGCGGTTGTGATTACGGAAAACAGAGAAGTGATGGTAACTGCTTGCACTTATCTAGGCTACAAAGAATGGCAGAGATATCCGGGATGAACCCGAGTGATTTAGGACCAGCCGGAAAGGTTCAAACTTATTGGATGAGATGAAAAGCAGCTAGCAGGTAGAAAAGCTGTTGATCATGGGTGATATTTCTCATCTTAGCTAGTCCTAGATTTCTACTAGAAGGTATTGATAACATAACTACGGCTCGGTTGCAACGTATCTATTCTTAACTGACATAAACTAACGTCGTCTTCTAAGTATAATATTATCAACTCAGGATTCCGAAAATGGCCCTAGCACCGCTACATTTAGGCCAAGTTGGCTAACGACAGTACGGGTTGCGGATGTCATGCCCGTGGCTACTAATGTAGGACTTATTTCGGGCTCGATATGTTGAAAAGAAAGCCAAGTCACATACATATCGATATATCGTAGTGAGTGGAATGATATTTGGTATGTATTATAAGTAATATATGTACGAAGTCGTTCGGTTCATGTAGCTCACTAATATCAAAATAAGATAATATGGTATCTCAGAATAGGCCTGGTCCTGTCATTCCAAACTGATGAATCAAAGATCTAACATGCTATGCCCAATTGCCCATGCTCCTCTATTGAGACTCCAATGCTAAATTAGTAATCCTATTTCCAGGGTTTAAAAAATACTTCCTGGAGAGGCTCTATTATTTTCTGTCTGCATTATTAAGCGCATTTCCGCTCGCGCTTCCGCCCCCTGGCTTTGGACTTATGGGACTTTGAGGGCTTTTAGGACTCTTCACTTTCTTTCCGGCGCCTTTACCTACAATCTTCTCTGTCCAATTCCAACCCGGGCTGGTTGCTCTTTGCTTGTCGTTGTCCTCGTGCCCTTGGGGTGTCTGGATCTTAGGCCTACCATAAGCCATATCCATATCGATTTCGCTATCATCCCCGCTGTCCGCAAACTCGCGATCGCTCCAGCTTGCAGAGTCGACCCTTTCATACGATGAACGAGGCGGCGAATCTCTTGAACTGTAACGAGTCGACTTTCTTTCCTGGGCTAGGGATGGTAGATCTGGAACAGCATCTGTGGCCTCGATAGCTTCACTTGCAGTATGCTTGTGGGTCATCGCACCGTATTTGCCTTTCCGGGGTTGGGCGTCTTCTTGTGTGTAGGTCTCAGCGCCGGTCTCGTCAGGTTGCTGGTCCATAGATTTTGCACGGTCACCAGTTTGCTCGGCTTCGTCTTGCATGCGAGCAGCTGCGCTGTCGCTAAAGTGAGCATCTACTAAGTGTTTGACAACAGGCCAACCAAAAGCATTGGCGAATTTGCGACGCACAATGATATTATTGTGCGCATCTGGCTCTAGTTTAACTAGGACCTTCCGCCAACTCAAGCCGCGGTGGTATGCACGAGCAATCTTTTCCTCAACCTTCATGTTGGAGCTGTCAACAACCTCATCAGTATCTCTGCTGGGGTCAGTATGCGCAGGATCATCATAGTCGTGAGTTGAAAGTTCAGAATCTGCATGCTCAACTCCGGCTTTCGGCGAAGGGAGATTCATATTCTCATCTTTAGAAGATGAAGAGGCGCCATTAGTGTTTGGCTTGTGCCGGAAGCTAAGTGTCTTGGTTGCACGTTTCTTGAGTGGTGGTGGTGGAATATCGGACGGATGATAGACGCGATCATGAAATATGGTCCGTGGACGCTTTGAAGGATCAATCAAGTAGTCCACCGTTGGTAACTTGGGATTAAGAATATCGCCCGCGGACTCAAAGAATGTCGTCCTCGGAGGAGCAGATACGTCATTTGTTGGGTCTTCGCTAAGCTCATGGCCGGAAGACACCTTCGACTTACTTGACGATGCCGAGTCCGTGGCTGCGTCTATTTTCAATGTTTGACTGCGCTGATAAATCTTGTTCTCTCGTGGAGACGGCGGAGGTGTTTTACGGGTTGCTGCTTTCTGCGGCTCGCTGGATTTGAAAAAGTTGAAAATTCCTGAGAATGCAAAGTCGTTATTTGTCTGTGAATTTTGGTTTGCCGGGCCCGTCTCCGAATGGGAAGTGGTTATGTTAAGACTGCGCCTGTCATCCTCTACAGTTGCGTTAGTTGGTGGCTGAGGTACTTCGTGAGGGTCGCTATGAGAGGACTCAGACTCGACGCCGGATTGTGATAACGATGGTGACTCTTCAGTTGTCGGCGACCAGGGACCTCTTCGTGACGACACATTAGCACCTGTCAATTCCGCCCACCCGAATCCGACGACGGTTTCAACCAAGCCGGCTTCACGTCGAGCCTTTTCTACCCGACCAAGTCCTTGCCAGTCTAGAAATAATAGGCAGCTTGTGCGTAGCGGTACAATCCCATCATTTACCACATTGGAATAGACAGTTCGGTTGCGAAACTTCTTCAGCGCCGTATGTGCTGGGCCGCTTGGTAGGATACGCAGCAGCGGTTTTGACTCTGGCTGTACCTCTCCCATTACCTTCTTGTGGGCGCTCTCCCCGAGGGTACCTACTAATGCGCCCCATCCGCTTCTGGCAATAGTCGGTGCCCGCCAAGTAAGGCCCAGATCTTGCCCGGTTCTCCCGACGAGGCCAAAGTCCAGAGCGAATTTGACATATAAAGGGTTCTCGTTGCTAAGGCCTAATAACGGAGATGCAAGGGTAATGAAGTTGATCGGCCGTATCAAGTCAAAAAAATGAGGGGAGTGCTTCTGGATATACGCTATAGCATACACCTGAATGAGGCCTCCTAGTGAGTGCCCAACAAAACTGATGCTGGTAAACTGGAACTTGCGGTTCTCCTCGTCATGCTGGCCCTTGTGTATGGTGCTGTTTTTATGAGCAGGTTTCCCCGATGCATCATCACCCCCACCGTCATTTTTGAAAGCATTGGCAATGCTTCCAGTCGCCGCCTTTTTCCTCGATGGCAGAAAAGGCTGGTCTGGGTAAGTCATGGAGAGCACCCAACGTGCCAAACGTTTGCCAAG